TATTCCTGGTGGAAATTGAACCCGCAACACTAGCCTTGACAACATAGCATTATACTGCACATGTTATTACTCGCTGTTTGTTGTGATCATTGTTACACGAGTTGTATTTTTTTTATTTGAGAAACTTCAACTTCAATCGGATTTAATTTTAAATGATTGCAAATATACGATTGCACAATATAAATACAAAGACCTATTATTAAAAGAATGTAACAAACCACAGTCAGACAGAATTCGGCGGCACATTCTCCAAGTTTTATGTTCTGTTAATTCACTGTGTTTCGTCAATAGCCTTTGTGGGCCAAAGGCTATCAGTATTGTACTTGTAATATAAAATTTAATGTTGGTGGCTGTGGTTCGAAATTTTATGGCTATATGGCACCTCAAGATGGCCAGAAATGAATATAATTTTCTTTTTTAGGGTGGCCCGGGCTGACTGGGTGCCTCCCGAAAGAGTCAGAACTCCGATATTTATATCTTCCGTTTGTTTGTATGAATTACACAACTGGTGTTGAACATTTTAACAGTTAAATCCATCACTTCTAGCAGGCTGATGGTGTCACTATCCAGTTCTTTAAGACTTTTTTCTTCTCGGGGATGATGGTGATGTGGTTGATTGTTATACGAAGCAATTGTATATTTAAATACTCAAGTTAAGTAAACAATTTTTACACTTAGAAATTAAATAAACATTTGTCAGATTTATAATCTTGTGCTACTGTCTTTCTACATTTGACTACAATGTAAAGAGCAAAATTAATTATTCGTGCTTTTTCCTAATTTGTACAACTTAAACCAATGAATCCTAAATGTAAGATGAGTATCCCAACAATAAAATAAAGATGCATTTAGATTCTGTCTCAGTTTTTTTTTTATTAGAACACTGTCAAAGAACAGTTAAGATACAGAGCAACATCAAAACCTGGTTCTCGCTTCCTCCCTTTGTGTACTGCTTCCTTAGATTCTTTAGAAATCCAAACATCCTTTAGGCCAATTATTGTCATCACCTCTATGCGAGTTTCTATTCCTAACACAAAAGCCAACATAAATCAAACATGGAGGTGTAGCTTGGTGGTGCTTACCTTCCAATTCCAGGGACCCAGGGGTACTGGGTTCAATTCCCGTCTAGTACAGGATTATTTATATATGTGTTTCATCTGTTTGTACCAACCTGCTTTTTTTTTTATTCCTGCTGTGGCCATATAAAAAAACTGGAGCTCATGAAACTTCTGAAGCCTTGTGTTTTCCCCCTGGATCCCATTGTTTTAATTTGAAATTATTCATTTTTTACCTCAAAAACAGAAAAGGAAAATATGTAATATGTATAAAACTAAATATAGTATAATGAGATTCCAGGATAACCTATTAGATTCCAGGATAACCCATTAGACTCCAATTTCAATAAATGACCCTCATTTTAAAGATCACATACTCAGGTATCTGAAAATACCAACAACTTGAATTTCAATTTTTGCTACAACTTAGACATTTTGCCACAACATGCCTCATATGTGTAACATGTGCTTATGCATATTTACGTCCCTGCTCTGATTCTTTATTACTGAGTTGACTATGAGTAGCTAATACATATTGTTTTTGCTTCTGTGTAAAATTCTAAAGATTCCTTTGCACCCTCACGACCAATGCCAGATGCCTTTACTCCACCGAAAGGCATCATGAGATCACGTACTAACCAACAGTTGGACCACACTGTACCAACCTGTAAGATATAACACAATCAAGAACAAATATATTTAGTTAATATTATTAACATAAAGTTTAGGTTTATTTTATCTATTAAGTTAAACAAAGTTAAAAAGCAAAATGGGTATGATCAAAATTATATTGAACATAGACGGAATTGGCAAAACACCAGTGACCCAAGCTCACAAAAATGCTGTAAACTCGCACCGCACTGTATTGAGAAACAAGCCTCCATAGCCAGAATAGGCGGAGAAAGTTTGAGTTTGAGGTAAAATTTAGCCATTTTCGGATGGGAGCTAGTGAAAAATGAATAGAAACCTGCCGAAAATAAAAATATTTTTCCCAAAAATAGAAAGAAAGTTGATAAGATGACAATTATTCAAACGGTCATAACTTTGCTTCCAGACACCTGATTGAGTTCATTTAACTGTCATTTTAAAGTAAATGATATATGTTGCCATTATAACATAAAACTCATTTTGGCCTGAGGACGAGTTTACAGCCCTTTTGTGAGCTTGGGTTACAATTGTTTTGTATATTTTCCCTCTTATTTATTCCACTTTTATTTAATAATAATAATAATAATAATAATAATAATAATAAATATTATAAGTCGATGTGACGTCATCACTGCAACTCCAAATGTTATTTGCCTATCCCCCACAGTCCAATAATTTTTTAATTAGTTGACGCTTGGCTTAATTTTTTAGGTTCGTGTGCAAAAAAAAAATAAGAAAATTGAATTGTAATCGAAAATTACTTTTGTAAAACAAGGATAATTAGAACCTGAAGAAAGTTACTTAAAATTCAAGATTAAGTATGAACAATTAAGGAATTCCTTGAATCAATGAACCCTAATAAACTAAACAAACTGAATGTTTAATAGGAATAATCTAAACCTATTATAAAGACTCAAGGAATGAAGTTAGATGTATGCATACAGCCAGGTAGGAAGCCGTCCCTGGCCTCCTCCTACTACTAGGCCGTAAACTAGCCTAGTTATGAAATCATCGCATGATTTTTACCCGTCTGCACCGACCAAAAAGTCAGTGACTGTTCTCTCTTGAATGCTTTAAGAAATGTTTATTTCTTTGACGAATGTCTATCAAAATACTGTAGCACTACAAACAAGTTCTTCTAACACAATACAAATTAGAATAGTTATTTATTGTATCCGTACTGTACTGCTGATGTGTAGTTAACACATACCAAGGGCACAAATCAGCATACGCACATATGTACACACACTGTACTGATCATATCACTATATCAACTGATGACTGCTACAACAGTTGGTTATCAAAACTAACATTAAAAGACGGCGATTGACTTGTAAAGCAATTGCTGTAGTAGAGCATTCATTTTACACTAGCAGAAAATTATTATACTTAGGTTAGATTTAATGCATTCAAAAATTTTCTTTGGCCCTTCCAGGCTCTCAGGAAATGTTTTCAAGCATTAAATCTAACTTTCGTATAATAATTTTCCTATAGTGTACTATGCAGAGCTCTACTTACTTAATAATAGCTTTCTACTGCTCCTTTTTTACAACCATACTTCATTTCTTTATTCTTGACTAATAGCCTGTTGGTAAAGAGCCAATGTTCTATTTTTAAAACTCCCCTAATCCCATCATACAGTAGCTATTTGTTCATCTGGTAACCTACTTTATGATTTACCTCTTGAATTGTTTTCAATGTTACGATGAGTAAAGCCAAGTGCTCACTGTCTTGTACGATTAATCCAAATCTGCTCCCTGTGAATGCTAGATGACGCGGTGAAATTAATGGATCGTCGTTATAAAAAATGCGCAGGCCAACGACAATCGGGTACAGTGAGCGCTTGGCTTAATGATGCAGTATTAAAAAAAAAAAAAAAAAAACAATAATCAAGTTCCACATATTTTTTTTTTTTTTTTTTTTTTTTTTTTTTTTTGTAAGATTTCAATACAATTGCAGTCACATCCTAGTACATCTTTGAATAAAAACAGATATTTTTAATTATCTATCTTGTTTGGTTACTGTATACAATATGTCTTGTACATTAAAGTTTTCTCATCATCAATCTATACTATTACTTCATATATACAGTATCACATTTGTCAGTATTTTTTCAATTTTGATTTATACAAATGCCTTTTAGATTATTTAACAACTTATAATTTAGTTGTGCATGTTTTCTGCTTTTCTATTTCTATTCTAAAATGTTATTAAAACAAAGTTGATTTCTGTCTGTCACCACCACAACAAATACCTACTCGAGAATTACTAATTTCCACACCCACTTTCTACAATTCTCATTCCCAATGCTTATAATATACAGTACCTGTTCCTAATCAAAACATAATAAATTCAGAGAAGGACGAGTAGGCTGATCTTACATCAACGGGTCTTAGATTTAGTCATATGCTGACTGATTCATAAAACTAAATTTGATGACTATTGAATCAAATAGAGATTATTTTACTGTTATTTTTGTTACTAATATTTTATATAAATTACACAAAAGTTTTATTTTAAATATGTTGACTGTTAATTGTAGGCATTTAACTTTTAAGCATCTTGCATCAAAAACTGATAGTGGAAAGTATTGTATTCAAACTAGATTTACTCGTCTGTGGAATAGGCTCCCAGTCAATATCAGAGATGCTTTTGTATGTGAAAGCTGGTTAAATTTAAAAAAATATTTTTTTTAAATCATTTTAAAGATATAGGCCTGTTTAATTCTTGGTAATTTTTTTTGTATATTTTATATTCTATTGTATGTTTATTGTAAGCATTGAGAGGGGCACACCTTTTGGTGACAATAGTTCTCTGACCTCTTTTGCCACTCCACGGCACATTCAAAGTTGTACTGCGTTGTTTGTCTTAGGTTTTGCCGAAATTAATAAAATATGATAAAATAAAAATAAAACAACTTTCATCCACCTGCAAATTGCATACCACCTATATAATATAGCTCATTCACAGACTTACAAGATTGCACATAGCGTAAAACTACAGCAGTCGAAATAATTTAAAAATGTCTCGTGGTTTACCTACTGTATAATACTAAATTAATC